GATGGGGCTTGGAGCAGCCTGGGCTGGTGGGAGGTGTCCCTGCCCATGCAGGAGGGCGGGACTGGATGATCTTCAACGTCCCTTCCAACCCAAACCAGTCTGTGATTCTGTGATTACATTAACCATATTCCCATTAAAAATATTGCTACTGATATAATTTTCCATGGTCTCATGGAAGCACATTTGCACATCCATGGTGGCAAACACCAACTCCTCACCTGTAACAGCCCCTTTGGTCTCCATCATTCCATACCTGTATTTAGGGAGCTGTTCCTGCCTGCCCATCACCCATAAGAATACCCTCAGGCACCCCTTCTCTTTGTTCTCCTTAATATCCCTGCTTTATCTCCATGCTGTTTGCTACACACAGACAAAATCCAACCCCCCCCTTGTCAAAATTCATGGAGCTGTTTCCTGATCCTCCTGTAAATCCCTCCTTAAGACCCACTGCTGCCTCAACACCTGCAAATCCTGACTGTCTGTCAGCAGTAACTTCCAGTTCTCTGGCAGAATCTCTTTGTGTTCACACTCCCCTGTGTTGCTCTGCTTTTGATATCGCTGGTTTTCCAGCTGAGACATGGAAAATCTCCACACCTGTCATCGCTGAGAAATATCTGTATTATACAGATAATAAGTATAAGTACCAAGTATAACTTTGGCTTTGGTTCTGGACTGGTGTGACAACTGGTGACTGGGGTGAAGATGCCAGTAATCCCAGGATAATCAAGGCAACAGCATGTGATATTGTCCTGTTGATGACAATGAGATGAAGAGCAGTGTGTGTGCACACACCAGACAACAGGTGACATTAAAAGGCTGTGATGGGTACAGAGCCAACCATGGTAAACCTAGGAAATGGCATCAATAAAATCGGTAACTTTCTATACATTTCTGTATATTCCTTTACCTCCTTCACTTGGTTGGGCTCATTTCCAGCCTTTTCTGTGTCTCCAAAATACCCTTACTGCTCTGGCTGTGTAAAATCTCTGAAGGAGGAAACTGTCTAAGCAAGTTGAGAAAACAAGATGGTGGGAAGTGAGGTGGAGGATGTAGGGATGGAAGTCGTGAGAAGACTTCCTTTGACCTGGTCTTTGCTCACCAGGAATAAACCAGGATAATCCTGAACATGTGCCTGTTGTCATGTACAGTCAGACCCAAGGAGTTGTGCTCTGCTTGATACTGAACAATAAGGTGAGCATAAAAAACCCACCGAGGTCTCTCCAGTACTTCACCAGCCTGAAGTTGAAACCTTTGACATCTGCAAGGTGGTTTCAAACTCTCCTTCACGGTGACTGTCACTCTGCAGGTGACACCTCAGGCATTTACTGCAATAGAACATGATGTCTTCATGGAGAAGAAGAAAAAACAGCCTTTCCTTTTCTGCTTTTCCCTTCAATCAACTACCATGGTGACTGAGAGATCAGGCTCATGTGGTGGTGAAGTTGCCATGATGGATTTTACAGAGGGGAAAATCATGTAAAATTGATGTAAGCTTTTGATACCAGCTACTCCTTGGAAATACATCTCAATTATGGGTAAAAACACTAACCCATAACTTGTATATTTATTTTTAAAACCTTTTTTTTTTTTCCCCCCAGTGCCATAATTCTAAACATGAGCTCTTCACTGAGGTTATTACTTATTGATAGGTAAGGAGGTAGCCCAGGAAGTGCTACTTGATGCTGGTGGTTAGTAGATATGCCTGTTAGTGACCCCTTCATATTTATCTGTATTTAATTATAGAACAACTGCCATAAAGCCCTAAGCTATGTCTGAGAAGAAAAGGCAGTTCCATTTGTGAGACCTTTAGATGCAGAATCCTGCATCTTCAACTGCACTAAACCAAGTGTTTTGGAAAGGAAAGCTGAAGAGAAGCAACAGCTGAGGTGTTGGATTGTTCGTGCCTACTTTGGGTGGTGTCTGAATATCAATTGTAAAGTCCAGATGCCTAATTAGTTGCTGAAGTACTAGATCATCTCGTGCTCGCTGGTGAGTGAATCTTAACCCAGAGGTGAAGCATGGAGATTATGAACCCTGAATAACAGAATCAGAACCTTTTAGGTTGGAGAAGACCTTTCACCCAGTCCAACCACTCCCCCAGCCCTGCCAAGGGTAAGTTGCAGTAAAAGGCACACAGAAAGATGTAAAACCAAAGACGTTTACAGCTAGATACAACTTGGACTTCTGGTGCACTGACAACAAAATCTTGGGTGATCCGTCCTCTTACACATGTGGGGCCTCAGTGTTTTCCCCTTCACCCCAGCGTTTTAAACCCACTCACTTCAGAATCACTCATTCCTAGTGGGATAAAGATAGGGTGAGCCCAGTGCTGGTACTGGGCACAGTCTGACACAATTCATCCCAATCCTCATCCATATCTGCAGCACCTTAAGTAGAAATACAGTTGGTCTGGTGCCAGCCCCCATCTCCCTTGCCCTTCTCTGGACACGCTCCAGCCCCTCCATCTCCTTCTTGTCCTGAGGGGCCCAGACCTGACCCCAGGATTCCAGGTGCCCCCTCCCCAGGGCCCAGCACAGGGGGACCAGCCCTGCCCTGCTCCTGCTGGACACACCAGTGCTGACACAAGCCAGGATGCTGGTGCCTTCTGGGCCACCTGGGCACTCACTGGCTCATGTTCAGCTGCTCTCAACCAACACCCCCAGGTCCTTTTCCTCTGGGCACTTTCCAGCCTCTCTTCCCCAAGCCTGGAGCGTTGCCTGGGGTTGGTGTGACCCAAGGGCAGGACCCAGCACTTGGCCTTGGTGAACCTCACACAATTGGCTCCATGGATCAATGGATCCAGCCTTTCAGGTCCCTCTGCAGAGCCTTCCTGCCCTCAGATTGTATCAGAAGGTATTTCCCAGGTCACATAAAAATTCTGTGCCAGGGCAAAAAACTGAGGTTGGGTCTCTCCAGCCCACCACATTAAGCACCAAGTTATCATTTCTCTCCTGGCGAATGAGCCCGATAACCACCATAGCGCAGCCATTATGCAAATCACTGCATCCTCATCGAGTAATAAAAGCTATCAACCATCCAGAGTGAAGGGGTTTGTATATTGTATGATTACTGAGAAATAAAATCAGTCAGAGTGATTATGCAAATGACCCCCTTCAGCCAATCAGACTGAAACGTACTCAGGAAAGAAGTGTGTATTTATGCATCAATACCTATACAGTATCCCTGAGCTTCAGTTATTATTATTTTTGTTATTTGAGTGCAGAAGTACCCAGAGGCTCCAGTCAATCCAATATAAAATATAATTGTCTTCTTTTAGATTCTGCTACGAATCCTGACTTCTGCAGTCATTCCATGTTGGATGAACAACAGTTGGGATCTCAGCCCATTTCCTACCTGTACAAAAATGTCACAGACTCAGAATGGTGTGGGTTGGAAAGGACCTTCAAGATCATCCAGTTCCAACCCCCCTGCATGGGCAGGGACACCTCCCACCAGCCCAGGCTGCTCCAAG